AAACAACCGCGCCCCTTCCCGCCCCTGCGCCGGCGAGAGATTTCGCGCTGGCGATGCTGGTCCCCGAAAACGAAAGCTCCCGCGAGCAGCCCCGGTGAGCAAGAAGAAGTTTGCGGAAGACGCAGTGGGGGTGCCTGGGAATCGCTGCGACGCTCCCCCCGGAAGCGCCTTTAAGCAAAGCCAGGGAGTCGCTAGTGGAGGTGCCCAGAGACCCTGAGGCTTCTTGCAAGGGGAGAGTGGTGAAAGTGCGCGGATATTTTGCACAAGAGTGGTGACTTTGCACGGACGCTCAAGGCCAATATAACCAGGTTGGAAGGTTCATCCAGGGCCTGCTTGAGAAATCCAAAGCCGGATCCTTGAGATCCTGCAGGGTCTCAGGATGAGGAGGAAAAAGACCACCGGGGGATCCTGCTGGCTCCCACCCCATGTACGTGGATGTCTTTCTTTGCATAACGAGCAGAGTGCCACTTTTCTGAGGCCTGACTCAGATCCACGTGTTATAATGTGTTGTGGTTGGTTTGTGGGGAATGCAGTAAACCATGGTTAAAGTAACCACTGTTTAATGCAGTGGGGGATCCAGCCTCCTCTAGATGGTATACAACAGCAGTAAAAAACAGCCAACGAAAATAAATATAAAAAATATTGTGTAAAATAACAACAATAAAAACACATTGTTGCATTGAATGCCTTCTTGGTTTCAGCCAGATTTGTCCCTGATTTTAATAACTTTTAGTCCCACTTTGGGTCAGACTATAAGCAATTTACGAGAGAGAGAATTTATGAGAGAGAGAGAGAGAGAGAGAGAGAGGAAGGAAGGAAGGAGATGATTCACTTTTCTCCCAACCATGGCAGCTGGATCCATCTTCAACACCTGGAAGCAAGGCATGAGTTGAATTATCTCTTTCGTCCTGAATTAAAGTGTTTCCTTTTCTTCTCTGATTGTCTCGCAGGCCTCTCATCTTCCCATTCCTTCAAAAGCACCTTTTGGGATGTTGATGGACCTCCAGGTCCACTTTGGCTGCCCCCAAAACACCTCAGAATCATGAGGAGCTCATGCCGCCCAAAATTTGGGGTCTTTCATTTGTATTGCATCTGAGTTCCCATGATCCACCACCAAGCCAGACTGACTTGGGGGTGCTGGGACTGAGGGCAGCCGGAGGAGACGGGTGGCAGAAGTCTGCAGTTCAGCCATGCTTCCAATAGACTTGATTGCTTCAGGTCTGGCTTTCTTCGGAGCTGCTGCAGAGACAGTCCCCCCCGCCCCCCCCAAGGCTCGCTCATCTACCAGAGCGGAAAAAGAAACGACAAGAAAGCAAAATACCTGGTTATCTCTTCTCCGAGTGGTACCGCAGCGCCCTTGGCAGGCTGGAAGCAGATAAGGCAAATACTGGCTGAAGCTGAAGGTCAGGTTGTGAGGCAACGCTGTTAAGTCACACCAGCTGAAAATCAATAGAGATTATCTGAAATTTCCCGCAAGTAACACACGAAGTGTTTTTTGGATTTTTTGGGTCCTGGCAGAGCTCACCGCCGTTCTTTGGGGAGGAAACAGACGCCACTGCAGGAGCTGTGACACGCATAAAAGCAGGCTTCATCGTGGCCATCTTAACCTTTCTGACCATCCTTGGCAGACACCCCTGAATGGCTTTGTCCTTCTTTGTATCCCGAGGTTGGAGGAAGGGATGGCTAAGGGGCCTCGTCTGGCATCCCGGTCCAGGGCCAGGTGGCCTCAGGATGGTGGGCGTTGTCACCAGCTGATGTAGCCAGAAAAATGCAGCAGGGTTAAGACTTAGGACAGCAAGACCCTTGGCAACACCAGTGAGGAGAGAGACTGCAGAATGCCCCTTTAGGCCAGTCTGGGTCTGGAACTGGCCCTCCGGCAGAAGCCGGCAGCCCAGCAGAGAAGAGAAGAGAGGCCAGCCCCCTCCCACACCCTCCACGGGCAGCCATCATCCTTTTCTGGCCTCTTCCCTGTCACGCCTCCTTCTGGGTGCAGACCTGAGGATAGGAAGGACCTCACAGCTGGATTGTTTTTGGTGTGAGGAAAGCGAGAGAAGCGATTTAATCGCCTTTGTCGGTACTTGGAGGCAAAAGGCTGTTGTGAAAGTGACCCTCTTCCCATCCACATCTGAAGCATAGGCCACGGCCAAAATAGTGGAAGAACATGGTCAACGAATCCAGCCTCTGGGTGTGTGTGCATGTGTGTGTATGTGCTCGTGCATGCGTGCCCTGGGGGAAGAGGGGCTGAAGCTGGGCGGCAGGGCTGGCTAAGAGGAAAGGGAATCTCGAAGAGCCGCGTTCCAGCTGGCAGCCGTTTGCAATGTGGACCGAGCGGTAAATCAGGAACTCTCTCGGGCTCCTCGTGACTCTCCTCCTGAGCCTGGGATGTGAGCAGTGCGCAGGGAATATGGAGCACACATATGGCCCATGAAAACAGGGGACTCTGCTCCTTCGTGCTTCGAGGCCCCTTCCAGCCCAGATCTGAAACCCGAGGAATAATTGCGTAATGCCTTCCGTCAGCTGAAACTCTTCTGCAGTCTTAGACCGCCACTCCCATCAGCCCCAGCATGTAGGCTGGGGATTATGGGAACCAAAGTTCAGCAGAATTGGGCAAACTCTCCAGTAATTAATTAAC